ATTTTAGTAATTAGTTTATGTGTGCCATGAGATGAAAAAGTTTGAAAATTGCTGGACTGTCCATTTATCATGATCACATTGTCATTTTGTAAATAAGCTTTTGATTTTAGAATAAATTTTTCTTGAGCCATTCTTAGTAGTGTTGCTTTTAAAAATTTCAGTTTTCAATTATGCATATCTAATATGTAGAAATATGATTGATTTTTGTGTGTTCACCTTATATTTTGTGACCTTGTTAAACTTACTCATTAGTTCTAGGTGTTTCTTGGGAATGTTTTACATAGACAATCATGTCTGCTAATAGGGACAGACTTATTTCTTTCCAATCTCTGTGCCTTTTATTTATTTATTTTTATGCCATATTGAACTGGAGAGAACTAACACTAAGTTGTCACCTTTACACATGTAGAGTTTTCCATAGTAGTTACCTTATTAACCTTTCATTGCCTGTGGATTCATTGTGATAATCCCTAATATTCCAGATATTAGGGCATGTATCTTCTCCCTCTTTTTTTTTCTGTCAGTCTTGCTAGATGTTTATCAATTCTGTTGATCTTTTAAAAAAAACTTTTGGTTTTGATATTATTGGTTTGTACTCTTTATTATTTCCTTATGCTTGCTTTGAGTACATTTTGCTCCTTTTTTTCTAGTCTCTTAAGGTGAAAGCTTAATTATTGATTTAAGACCTTTTTTTCTTTTTTAACATAAGCATTTAATGCTCTAAAATTTTCCCCAAAACACTGCTTTAGCTGTATCCCACAATGGGATACTATTCAGCCTTAAAAAGGAAGGAAATTCTGCAATATGCTACAACATGGATGAACCTTGAGGACATTATGCTAAGTGAAATAAGCCAGTCACAAAAAGATAAGTACTGTATGATTCAACTTATGTGAGGTATGAGTAGTCATAAAGACCAAGTATAATAATGGTTGCTAAGGGCTGGGGAGGAGGAGAGAATGGGGATTTCTTTAATGGGAATAGAGTTTCAGTTTTACAAGATGAAGAGTTACAGGGATGGATGGTGGTGATGGCTGCACAACAGTGTGATTGTATTTAATATCACTGAACTGTGCACTTAAAAATAGTTAATATGGTACATTTTATGTTTACCTCTGTTCTAATCTCTATTATTTCCTCCCTTCTGCTTTGGGTTTAGTTTGTTCTTTTTCTAGTTCCTTAAGTTGTAAAGTTTGGTTATTGATTTGAAATTTTTAAAAAAATGTGTTTGTAGCTATAAATTTCCTCCTTACCACTGCTTTCACTGAGCCCCATAAGTTTTGGTATGTTTTATTTTAGTTTTAATGCATCTCTAAGTATTTTCTAATTTTTCTTTTCATTTCTTCTTTGATCCATTGTTTAAAATTGTGTTAATTTCCACAGTTTTGTGAATTTTCCATTTTTTGTTGTTGTTATTGGTAAATAACTTCATGTCAAATTGGTAGAAGATACTTGGTCTGTTATCTTTTTAAGTCTATTTTGACTTAAATTTGTGGTCTAACATATTGTCTATACTGGAAAATGTCTGTGTGCACTTGAGAAGAATATGTATTTTGTTTTCGGATAGAGTGTTCTAGGCATGTCTGTTAGAGTAGTTGGTTTATTGTGTTAAGTCCTCTGTTTCCATACTTACCTTTTATTGTGACTGGGGGATTGAAATCTCCATCTCTTATTGTAGAACTGTTCCTTTCTCCCTTCAGTTCTTTTCATGATCTGTCATTATATGTGTAAATATTTATTGTCATATCTTTTTGCTGTATTGAATCTTTTATTAATGTATAATATCCTCTGTCTCTTATGACATTTTAAAATTTAAAGTCTTATTTTGTCTGATCGTGGTATAGCCATTTCTGCTCTCTTTTGGTTACTATTTGCATGAAATATTTTTCTCATCCTTTGCATTTCAACCTGTTTGTGTCTGGATCTCGAGTGAATCTCTTATAGATAGCATATACTTGAATCATGTGTTTTTATTCATTTTGCCAATCCAGTTATGCTTAAATTAATTTTTTCTTTAATCATGTAGAGAAAGAAAATGCAGTTGCAAACTGTTGTTACAATACTAATTTTTGTTACTTATGTATTTACTTTTATTGAGATATTTATTTCTCCATATGGCTTTGAGTTACTGTCTAGTGTTCTTTCATTTCACCTTGAAGGACCCCGTGAGTGTTTCTTGCAGGCCAGATCTAGTGGTCATGAACTCCTTCAGCTTTTGTTTATTTGGGATTTCTTAATTTCTTCCTCACTTTTGAAGAACAGTTTTGCTGGATATAGGATTCTTGGTTGACAGATTTTGTCTTTTAATACTTTAAACATACTTGCCCACTGTCTTCTGGGCTCCAAAGTTTCTAATATGATCATCTTATTGAGGATCACTTGTGTGACGACTCACTTTTATTTTTTAAAAAAATATACTTTTATTAAATTTTTAGAGGGAGAGGAAGGGACAATGATAGAAAGACAGAAACATTGATGAGAGAGAAACATTGATTGGCTGCCTCCTGCATGCCTCCTACTGGTGATCGAAACCAAAACCCAGGCATGTGCCCTGACCGGGAATCGAACCAGTGACCTCTTGGTTCATGGACTGATGCGCAACCCCTGAGCCACCAACCAGAAGATGATTCACTTTTATTGATTTCAAGATTATTTCTTTATTATTGGCTTTTGAAAGATTGATTATAATATATCTAGGTTTTGGGTCTTATTGAGTTTATCTTTCTTGGAGCTTGTTGGGTGTTTAAATTCATGTCTTTCATCAAATTTAAGAAGTTTTCAGCCATTATTTCTTTAAATATTCTCTCTTCCCCTTCTCTCTCTTATTCTTCTAGGACCCCAATGATATGTACATTGGTGTGTTTGATGGTGTCCCACAGATCCTTTAGGCTCTGTTCATGTTTCTTCCACCTTTTCTTTCTGTTTCTCACTTGATAGTTATCATTATTTTATCTTCAAGTTTGCCAATTCTTTTTTCTGCCTCCTCACATCTGCCTTTAAATCCCTCTAGTGAATGTTTCATTTCAGTTATTGTACTTTTCAGTTCCAGGATTCGTTTTTTGTTCCTTTTTAGGTTTTATGGTGTGTCTCCCCCCCCCCCCCCGTTTTAATTGATAGTTCTGTTTTGTTCATACACATGACTTTAACCACATCTTCCTTTGGTTCTTCAAATATCAGTAAGATAGTGTCTTAAATTATTTGTCTAGAATAAATGTCATTAGTTCTTTATCAGAGACAGTTTCTTTTGATTTATTTTTCCCCCCTAAATGGGCCATACATATCTGTTTCTGTGTATGCCTTGTGTTTTGTTGTTGAATACTGAACATTTAAATCTAATAAAATAAGTCTGAAAATCAGATTCTTTCTTTTTTTTAAAGGTTTGCCAGTTTTTGTCATTGTTCTCTCTCTCTCTCTCTCTCTCTCTCTCTCTCTCTCTCGCTATTATATGTTATCTATGCTGGAGATCACCCTGAGCTGTAACCTTCAGGTGCTCTCAGGTCTTTTTGAGCCTTTCCTGGGGTGTGTCTAATATTCCTTGTATATGCAGTTGTTTTTTAACGTCTTAGTCTTTCATGTCTTGCTCCCTAAAGGAGAAAAAGTATAAAATATAGGGGGGAAAGAACACCAGCCTTTCAAATCCCCTGGAAGTTACTCCAGCTGAGAGAGAAAGGCTTGCAATAGTAGAAGGAGTTGCAGCAAAAATGTCTGCCCACTCTTTGTCTGCATCTCTGTGAGCAGAAACAGCACTCTGCAATCAGAGCAGAGACTCCTGATACTTGGAGGACAGGGTCCTTTTTGCCCACCACAGCTCCTGCAAATTGTGTGCAAGCTGCTGCTCCTGGAACACATGCACAGCTGCCTGCATGTGACGGAGGGTGTGTATGGAAAGCTGCTACTGTACTAAGAGCTGAAATTGACCAAAATTAACCGTGATTTACCATCCAAGTCTTCTCCGGGAAGTTGTAAGCCTTCAACACTTGAGTTCTAAAACAGTTACACCAGACAGATTCTGCCACTGCAATTGTTGTCTAGGTGGGAAGACAAATTCCTGATGCTTTCTATTTCACCTTCTTCCTAGAATTTTCAAATTAGATTTAAAAATATATATATATTTTTTATTGACTTCAGAGAGAGGAAGGGAGAGAGAGAAACATCAATGATGAGAGAGAATCACTGATCGGCTGCTTCCTGCATGCCCCCTACTGGGGATCAAGCCCGCAATCCAGGCATGTGCCCTTGACTGGAATCGAACCTGGGACCTTTCAGTCTACAGGCTGATGCTCTATCCACTGAGCCAAACCAGGTAGGGCTCAAATTAGATTTTAAAGGAGTTTTTTCACTGATATAAAATACAGTTGATACTTCAAAACATGGTTTTGATCTATGTTGGTCCATTTATATACAGATTTTTATAGTCAGTCCTTTGTGTCTGTGGGTTTAATATCTGTGGATTCAATCAATCATGGATCAAAAACAGTATTTTCTCACCCAACCGGTGTGGCTCAGTGGTTGAGTGTCAACCTATGAACGAGGAGGGTCACGGTTCTATTCTTGGTCAGGGCACATGCCTGGGTTGCGGACTCGATCCCCAGTGGAGGGCTTGCAGGAGGCAGCCAATCAATAATTCTCTCTCATCTTTGATGTTTCTATCTCTCACTCCCTCTCCCTTCCTCTCTGAAGTCAATAAAAATATATCAAAACCACAACAACAAAACCCCAGTATTTTCTCATTCTCAACCACGGATTCCTAACCGTGCATTTCCAACTGTGAGTCGAAAATACTTTTGATGTGTGGATTTTTGATGAGGGTGGATTTGAATCTACCCTCTGCATTGTTCAAGGGTCACCTATATTTTCTGAGGTAATTTATGTGACATTTAGCATAAGAGCTCCAAAGTTACTTGTTCTTTTTTTATTTATATAGTCTTTTTACATATATAATGTTGGTAAACTAGAATTATTATTGATTTTTTTTCTTTTGGTTTGTTTCTACATGTGTTTTGTTTATTTTTCAGTGTCAGCAAATTGGACAATGGCAGTTGAGTGGGTTTTGAAAATGTCTGAAGTTTAGTGGGCCGCATCTACCTTCCGCTTTTGCCCTACCATTTACAAAAGAATAAATGGGATGTTTGAGAAGACAGCTCTATTAAAAGAAGAGTGTTGCAAATGGCTTCAGATTCTATGAATACAAAATACCCTAGGAATCACTTCACTAAGGGGAAAAGGCAGCAGCACCAGCAAACAAAGACTAGGTCTTCCATCAGTGATGGCGATGGCGACGACTCCTTTATCTTTGAAGCACAGGAAGCTTGGAAAGATTTTCATGGATCTCTTCTTCGGTTTTATGAAAATGGAGAACTCTGTGATGTCACACTAAAGGTCAGACTGTATTTTTTTCTTTTCTCCATCTCTTCAGAGTATTATGAAAAATGGGGGTTTCTATAACCATATCAGCAAATTTTTGGTGCTGTACTTATTGTTACAATCAGAATGATTTTAGTCTCAATCCTTTTGATTGAAGGAGGAGGAACATAATGGAGGATAACTAAAGGGAGATTAGCAAAAGATCAAATTCTCGCACTAATTAAATGTCAGTAGTCATTGTTCTTACTTAACTTCTGAGAGTTCTGGAATTCTAAAATAACAAATAGTTACTAGTAGTAAAATCAACTTGCTATTGACCAGATAAGTTTTTAATTTGTGAATTTAAAAAGTTAATGCATTCACTTACTCTTGATTTTGGTTTAGAAGTCAGGAATTCTTGGTTGTTTACTCAATTGCACTAGTGTTTTACTTATGTTCCTATCCTGGTAATTTAATCTCTACTTCAATACTATTTTTTGTTAAGTGAGGTTGTTTATATACCAGATAGTGAAGTAGAGTCTATTTAGAGTTGGATGAAAAAGTCTTTAGTAAACTTTGTCTATGTTTTATAGAATCGTATCAGTCTGCCTCAAAAGACAGTTTTAATAAAACTGGAAAAGTGATCAAGTAGTGTGGAAGAGCCTGTGTTCTAATTGTTTTTCATTATTCACTTAAGGTACTTTCCTATTCTTATCTCTCAGTGTGGTGCTAAACTTTTTTTAGTGATTCATATCATTAAATGCATCCATGCAGCATTTTCCACATAAGATTTGCCACTTTGGGATCTCTTAGATTTTGCTTTCTGTTCCTGATCAGACAGATTCTTTGAGCTCATAGTTGTGGGGTTGAGGGCATACTTGGAAAATCAGATCGGGGACACTTAGCAAAAGTCTGTAACTGAAAACATAAACTTTGAGTTTCAGGCCCTGAATGTCCAGGATTATAGTGTTACACTGTGTGTACATGATCTATATTTGCTTTACTTAAATTTTTAGCGTCCTTACATATTTCTAGGTTCTAAGGATTTGAGAAGAAAACGGTTGTAATTCTACTGCTCTGTGAAATCTAGCAATGTGTATATTTTGATGAAGGAACTTTTTGTTCTATATGGTATATTATGCTTTAATTTCACATGATTGTTCTAATTTTCAAACTTAGAATGATATTCAGTGACCTACACTGGCTTTGGTAAAAATAAGAAGTGTAAATAGATGATTTAAATTTAATGAATTACCAATTCAGCATATTAATGTATGCATGGGAAATAAATAGAATTAGAATATAACGATTTTTTAACATTTTTAATTAGTTTTTATTTTATTATTTTTTTACTGTGTAGCCATTTATATTTTTTAATTTTTAAATTAAATTTATTGGGATGACATTGGTTGATAGGATTATATAGGCTTCAAGTGTGTATCTCTGTGATATATGATCTATCTATACATTGCATCATGGGCCCACCACCCAAAGTTAAATCCTTCTTGACCTTGGAAATAAAACTTTTTTGGCTACTCAAACTCATTAAAATTGGTGAATTATTGAAAAGAGTAGCTATTTGAGTGAAAAGGTTTTATGAAATTACAAAGGATTAAACTGAAAAATTATCCTATATAATAAAAGGGTAATATGCAAATCGACCGAATGGCAGAACGACCGGTCGCTATAATGCGCACTGAGCCGGCAGGCAGACGAGTGGTTAAGGGCGATCAGGCAGGCAGGCAGAGAGGTTAGGGGCGATCAGCCAGGCAGACAGAGCTGTTAGGGGTGATTAGATAGGCAGAGTGACTAGGAGCGATCAGGCAGACAGGCAGAGCAGCTAGGAGTGATCAGGCAGGGATGTAGAGTGGTTAGGGGCGATCAGGCAGGCAGAGCGGTTAGGGGCGATCAGGCAGGCAGGCAAGTGGTTAGGAGCCAGAGGTCCCAGATTGCAAGAGGGATGTCCAACTGCCAGTTTAGGCCCGATGGATTGGGCCTAAACTGGCAGTTGGACATCCCCCAAGGGGTCCCGGATTGCGAGAGTGTGCAGGCCGGGCTGAGGGACCCTCCCCACCCCCCACACAATTTTCATGCACCAGACCTCTAGTAGTTTATAAACACATATGAAAGGAATCTTTGCTATATAGATGTGTTTTTTCCCCCTCCAGTCTTTGTTTCTTTCTGTTCCACTGTGTGTCTTCTGCACTTTTATTTCAGTCTAGTTCTCAAACATTTACTGTTTAAGTGGCATAATTATAAACATTTCAACCTAGTATGCTTTAGGTTTTTTTTAATGATTTAAAAAATTTTGAGGTGTTTGTAAAAGATTTTTAATAATCTGTGTTAATGGAATTATATAATTAAAACTTAGAAATGAAGTGAACCTATGTAAAACAACTGTTTGCAAAAGAATAGTTCACAGGATAGCCAATTTTTAAATAAGCATTAAACATAGCTAAAATCAATTATCAACATATTAAATATTTAAAACATTTATTGCTTTTAAAATTTTTATGAAGGGGGTATTTTCAAGCACTGCTGTTGGATAAGTAAATTGGCTCATTGTTTTTTTGTGGACAATTTGACAGTCTGTATCAAGAGCCTTTGAAAAGCTCACAGTTTTTGATTCATTCTGCTTTTCAGATTTTATCTCAAAGAAGTATTCTAAAATGCTGGACATCTAAATGGCTGATATCAGAATGGTTAAATAAACTGTGTGTTGCATCCACTGTTTAACAGGGGCGGGGAACATCGGCTCATGGGGCCATAAGGCCCGCAAAATCATTTGGTCTGGCCCTGCCAAGGCATTAGGGGTAATTAAATGTTTGACCAAATATAGCAGGCTAATTTTTAACACATTTCGTACAGCTCAGGAGTTTTCTCGTGTTTTGCGCGCCATCTGTTAAGGACCGCTCACGAGTGTTCTCGTTTTTCATGCCCATAAAAAAAGGAGCGAATCTAGATACTTATGTAAATTTTGTTTGGTCCCTCTTCACAGAGGAAAATGTTTTACGCAGTACCATACGTTAAAAAAGTACTAGGAACTTTAATTGTTTAATTGTTTTTGTAAATAAAAATGTTATACTTATTGAAAAACAACACCTAAAGTGCATTATGATGATTTAAATAACGTGCAGTTTGCTCAAAAACGTGCGGTCCCTGGCGTATGTCTTAGAGATTTCTATGCGGTACGCAATGTGTTAAGTTGATAATTTTGTATGGCCCGAGAAGGATGTTATAAATATCTAAATGGCCCTTGGCAAAAAAAATGGTTCTCCCCAACCCTGGTTTAAAATAGTGTATAGCCAATGAGAATGAAGCTTACAAAAGTTTTCAGAAACTTAGGAAACAAAGTTCATGACAACTGAGTTATGTTTCAAAATGCACAGAAAAAAAGTTGGAAGGAAAAATATACCAGAAGGTTAACAGTATTTGTTGACTTTTGAGTAAATTATATTGTACTAGAGGCCTGGTGCATGAAATTCATGCACAGGTAGGGTCCCCAGGCCTGGCTAGCGATCAGGGCTGATCTGCAGGGCCACCTGTGGGGCGATTGGGGACCCTCACTCGCACCCACCTTGGCTGGCCTGGCGCTGCCTGCTCGCCCCCTACCACCACTACTGGTCAGGGCCTGCAGGCTGGGAGCAGCTCCTGCATTGAGCATATGCCCCCTGGTGGTCAGTGCGCATCATAGCGACCGGTCATTCCACCGTTCGGTCGATTTGCATTAGGGTTTTATATAGATAGACTAGAGGCCCAGTGCACAAAATTCGTGTACTGGTAGGGTCCCTAGCGGCTGCCAACTGCCAGCCAGTGCTTCCCTCCCATCCCCTGGTCGCCTGCTGCCACTGCCAGCTGGTGCCTCCCTCCCTTCCCCCACCCAGCTCTGCCCCCTGGTCGAACTCCCAAACTCTCAGTCGAGGGGACAATTTGCATGCTGCGCTTTTATTATATGGAATGGGGGAGGAGAGAGGAAAAATTAAAAAGTAATGGACTTCCTTATGTAAAATAGGTTCATTTTACAAGTCAGATTTGCTAGTACTGGAATTTTTGATGTTCTTTGTTAATGTTGTTTTTATATCATTTTTTGTTGATTTTACCTCATAATTCAGCAAAAGATCATTTATGTTTTCAGAGTTCTACTTAGTTTTTCTGGTTGGACTTGCATGTTGAATCAATAATTAAAATTAAGGATGCTTGACTCCCCCTGTTTTTCCCTGTGTTGTAAGTGAAGTGCTTGCCCAGCCGGTGTGCCTCAGTGGTTGAGCATTGACCCATGAACCGAGAGGTCACAGGTTTGATTCCCAGTCAGGGCATATGTCCAGTTTGCAGGCTCGTTTCCCAGTGGGGGGTGTGCAGGAGGCAGCTGATTGATATTTCTCTCTCTCTATCCCTCTCCCTTCTTCTTTAAAAAAATCAATTAAAAACATTAAAAAAAAAAAGTGAAGTGCTTTATCAATCTAAAAGCCTTTGTTTCATTGTTTTCTTATCCCTATTGGCTAATCTATGGAAAATTACTTGGTTTTGATTTTTTTTTAAATAAGGGAACATTTTATTTTATTATTTTTTCCCAACAATTTCCTTTGTGAAATAGTTGCTGACCCCTAACTCTGCTTACTTTTTTTTTAATCCTCACACGATTATTTTTCCTATTGATTTTCAGACAGAGTAGAAGGGAGGGAGGAAGCTTCCCACACGCCCTTGACTGGGGCTGGGATACAACCCACAACCAAGGAATGTGCCCTTGACTGGTAATTGAACTCTCTACCCTTTGGTCTGAAGGCCAGCGCTCTAACCACTGAGCAACCAGCCAGTGCAGGGAACAATTTTTGTTGATATTTTACGTATTTCACTAAACTATAAGCTTGGCATGTTTTTTCCCCTGAGCATCTTGAATTATTTATATGTTCACTGATCTAATAAAAACAAATATAAATTAGAAATTTCACTAGTATCAAAGACACATAATGTAGTATTTACTTATATAATTTAAAATTGTATAGTAATGTCTATATTTTTTAGATTACATATTTTTCACCTATACACTACTTTAAATATGTAGTGTATAGGCTTTGATTTCTTTTAATTCTAAATTTGTGATTAAATGTTTTTTTATGTACCAGAGAAGAAAAATATAGAAATAAACTTTCAAGAATATAATGAAAGTATATAGTGTCAAAGGAGAATTAATGAATAAAAAGATAAAATTTTTTATGTTCCTATTTCATACATATTGCTCAAAGTTCTTTTTAAAGATAAGATGGGTATTTGTTCTAAGGGGTATATAGGGGTGTGATTTTGTATGCGTGTGCATTAAACATCCATGTTTTTGTTTACTTGAATCAAGAAGTTAAAATTAAAACAGAGAGACAGAACCTTATTATAAAAACATGAAAATAACTTATGGGCCATTGATTTGTACAGCTTGGGTGAGAAAGCAGTGTTAAAACACTTTATCTGGAAATCACAGAACTCTATTATATAGTATAGTACTATTATGTAAGAGAATGTTGGCAGGTTAATTGAGCAGAGATCATGTGAGATTTACAGATATTTGCCTAAAAACCAAATATCAGTGGTGACATGTACAGATAATTTTTAAAAAGGGGATATTTTAAGGCTATTCTGAAAATGTTTGACATCAGATTTTAGATCTCATTTTAGGGTTGAAGTGAATTTGAAAACATGCCAAGCTTTCTGCTTTAGTGTAGGATTCAACTTGAGTTTCAATAGAATCTAAATCCTACTTTAATGAATTCTTTTAAAAAATTAAATATAGCATATGTGCCAGAAATGATCATCTGTTCGTTGAAATATGTGTTATTCATTTTTCCTCTAAATCAGTGAAAAAAGTTGGGTGAGGAGCATTTATAAGCAAAACTCCTCAGACCTTTTTCTTTAGAATATCTTACTTAAAAATTAGTTCCCAAATAATGAGACACAACTCTAAGTATATTATATAATCAGCTGCTACATGAAAACGGAAAAATTGCTTAAACACTACTATTCTATTACTTGTACTCATTGATTTTTCAATATAAAGTGCTGGGAAATTTGGATAACTACTAGGTTAAAAAGAAGATATCTGTCTACTCAGTACCCAAAATTTCCAAATGGAAATAAAAGTTGTAGTATAAAACAAAAAAAGTACTAGAAAAAAATGACTTGAAGTAAATGTTTATGGAATATTAGAATGATTCCCATTTCAAGCATAGTACCAAAGGCAGAAATCATAAAGAAAAGATTGATTTAATTATATAAAAAATATATGGGGGGAATAAAATTTACAAGCACACTGTAAAAGATGAAAGTTTAATTTTATATAAAACAAATGACTAATCCTCTAAATGTATGAGTTCTCACAAATGAATAAGAAAAACATCATAGAAAAAAGTTTGTAGAAGAAATACAATTATCATAGGTAGATAAAAAATGGACAGTTTAGCAAAATGTATCCCAATTTTGTACCTATTCTTTGAAGCAGCATTTCTAGAATTTATCTGTAGGAAATAATAGGGAAGATGGACAAAGATTCAATTACAACAAAGTTCATTACTATGTCATTTGTAATGGCAAACTATTGTAAGCAATCTAATCTTTAAATAATTAACGTGGTAAGATTTCAGAGTTTTTATTACTTTTATATAAAATTAATTTAATTATTAATTACATTTTTTCATTATTTCAAAATAATTTAAGCAGGAAGTAAAAAAACCTCAGTTAAGTCATAGTAAATACTACTAAATATTGATTTATTTACTCTGTGCTTCAATTTCTCACTGATAAATCGTGGGTAATAATAGTATATAATCATAGGGCATTGGGACAACTAAGTGAGTTAATATATAAAAAGTACTTAAAATAGTGCCTGGCTTGATGACTATAGTTAATAATATTAGATATATGTATTTGAAAGTTGCTAAGGTCTTCAAACTTCTCATCATAAGGGAAGAAAGAATGTAATTATGTGACAATCATTTCATAATACATATATCAAATCATTATATTGTATATCTTAAACTTATACAGTGTTATATAGCATTGTTTACTCTATATGCATTATATATACATAGATACATGTATAAAAAATAAGTGGCTAATTTGGAAGAAGAAAATTACCTGATTTTAAGAAATTGGCCTAGATTAAAAGTAAATGACCATGGGGAAAGGGAAAGGTCAATGGGGGAAAAAGGAGAGATATGTAAAACTTTCAACAATAAGGAATATATATATATATATATATATA